TCGTGCTCCGAACCGTACGGGATCTCGTGTGGGTTAGGTGCGCTTGCGGTTCAGTGATCTTACACCACTCTGTTGTGTTTTCGTTTATTTTAGGTCATTTTTCTTCATGGATTGGGAGATACTGGGTGCGTATTCTGATCTATTACATACTTCATAGTTACTATAGTTTCAAATGTAAGACTGCATGTTTTAAAGACGTGAGCAGTTAAAAGTTGCTTAAGCTTCTTATTTTGCCCTCGATTGATTGTAGTGGCTAACAACAGGTGAAACTCAATGTATGCTCATATGATGGTGATAACTATTTATTTAAAGTTTTCAAGCATTAGTCTTCAAAAGCTTTTTCTTTTTTCAATCACTTATTTAATTTGGTCTGAATGTGATCCCTTTCTTGTTCTTGAGTCAAACTTGGTGGAAAAAGAAATCTGTGGATTTCTGATCTTTCACTCAACTGAGAGCAGCTTCCTGGTTATTCCTGTGGTTGTCTAAATTTAGGGGTTGTTTGTTTGTTTTTGTTTCCCCCTAGACTCGTGGATTGCTTATTTTGCTAGTAGATGCTGTTAGGCCATGTCACACTTCACACTTCAGCATGTCACGTTTACATTTTAATCCAGGCTTACTTGATTTATCTAAGCAAACTTCTAAGTAGTCACCTAATGTTTACATTTCTATATCTGAGATGTGGTCTTCAGACTCCAACCACACCCCCACTCCCCCCCCCAAGCTGTGAAATACCCTGTTTGCCTTGTTCCTGTTACTTCTACATTTGAGTAGAAATGGAAAGAGTAAGGAACTTCTGAGAGGCATTTTAGGTGTGATGTAATGGTTCCATTTGAAGCTTGTGTGTGCCAAGATATAAGTGTACATTCATTAAAGCCATTTAATGAACAAGTTAGGAGTGTGTTGAAACTTTTTTTTGGTACAAGACTTTGAAGGAATCAGCACTTAGATACTGCAAATAAGTAGCATGAATGTTTTGTCTGTTGTGCTTCCTTATAGGCAAAATTAAATGATTTTTTTCTTTAGAACTCTGTTTTTATTACCTGGATCTTGAAAGTTGTCTTTAGGTTGAAACTTGTTGTGTTTAAGACATAAGCTTTTTCTGAAGAACTGAAAAAAAAATGTCAGCTGTCAAAATTTAAACTTGCATAACCTGGATGCTTAATAAGTTAAAAAGAGTCAAGTCCACCTACTTAGCAGTGTGTTCTACAAGTGGAGATGTTTGCTGTCATTTGTTGTGCTGATACACCACCTTGTTTGCGTTATCCCTCTTCCTTTCTGCTAGTAGGACACAGCTGAGGCAGCAGAGCTTCCTGCATCTTGGCACCAAATATTCAGCAAGTGATTGCAGAATCTTTTGAGTCTTTGGAATTTGAGCCCTTACAAATCGGGTTGGTGTTGGTTTTGGCAAGGGGAAAAAAGCACAGAGATTTGCTCTTTAACATAAATTGTATTCCTTATATGAATGTGGTGTTTCTCTTTTGGTGACAAAGCTAACCTAATACTCAGTCTCAAGCTTGCAAATGCACTGAGTGTACTGGAATGTATGCATTAACAAGTCATAACATCTCTGTGGAAATATGGTGATTTAGCTGTATTTGTTCCTTTAGTCCACTGCAGATCTGATTAGCTAAAACCAGCCTTGACATACTGCCAGTTTGTTTTGTTTTTTGTTTTTTTTTTCCAAAAAAGCTGCAGTAGTGGCCAAAAAAAGAATTGTCTGAGGAGAACTAATTAACAGTTTTATGATTTCCCACAGTTTAAACTGACCTATTCCACTTCATATGAATTTTTAAGTTGTTCACTTCAGTTTACAAACTGTATTTTCCTTCTCCGAGAAGTGTCTAACAGAGGTTGTGTTCTTTCTCTCATAGCTCCTATATAAATGGCACTTAACGATTGGTACATACTTGCCAAAATCTGAACCAAAAGGTACAACATAGAGGGTTGTTCTTAAGAGTCTGCGTAAATGTCTATACAATATTATTTTCCAAATTTGTCGAATTCATCTTCATAGTTGGCTAAAACAAGATCCCCAGATTCTTACCTAATTGTTTTTCTCAGTCATCTTTCTCCTTTACATTCTTATTTGGTGGCCTGTGATATTGCAAATATTATACAAGTAATATCACTCACAATTTGTTAATAGTATATGTAAAAATATTGTTAGGAAGTAAGCTGAGGTACACACACAGAATTTCAAATATCCGTGCTGTCCGTGTGTTTGAAATGTCTTTAAGTAGCATACATTAACTTTTCAGGATGGTATTAGAATTAAAACTAAACCAAACATGCTTTTATGGCTTCTCTGCTGTTGTTCTGATTAGTTCAGCTGTGTCATTAATGAATTTGTTACAGGTGTTTTCTGCTTAGAATCACCTTTCCAGTATCTAGTTTAGTGGGCGAGTTAGGTATACTGAATAACAAGAAAAATCAGGAAACACAGGTGCTAGAGAGTGTTCTGGAAAGCAAAGTGCAGGCACAGGCAGTGGTTCTGCACAGGTTCAGATTTGGGTCCAGCTCAACTCATGTCTAGATGAGTCCTGGAATGAGTCTTTCAGAGCTGACTAATTTAAATGATGCCTTCTTGTTTTCCGGTTGTGGGAAGCTTGATAACTCATCTGTTGTGCAGATCTCATGTTGTTCTGTGCGTTCACACAGCACGTGCTTGAGATGAAAAAGCATCTTGCAGTCTGGGATGTTGTTCAGGACTGCCTGAATCTAAGAGCATTTGAGCTGAGCCAAAGTTAATGGGTCTGATGGATTAGGTTGGCTCCACGTGGAGTTAGCTTAGATACCAGTTCGCTGCTCTCCCACATCAAGAAATGTGGTTCAGAAAAAGCGAAGATGGCTGTCAAAGAAGCTGCTTTAACTCTACAGGAGCAGGAAGGCAGCCCCTGGGCTGGAGTTGCCAAGGAGCAGGATGCCTGTGTTCACGTGTTCTGGCAGCCAAGTTAATAAAGCCAGCCAGATACAGAGCAGGCTTTGCCTGGAGCCAAAGTGGTGTTTCTGCAGCTGTGATAGTCAAATTAGATAAAGCGTCCCTGGCTTTATGCAGATATGCAACAGATATTCAGAGGCAGAACAAACCTTCTAAGTTTAGTACTATGTTCACAGCATACTGCAGTTGATACAAAAGTTTCCTAGAAATATGTTTATGTTGATCTAATTCAGCAAATTTTATACTTGCTCTGTGCTGTTGCACCAACATAGAAATAAGAGCTAAGCCAAAATATAAATGGCATTTAATATATTTTTTTGTTCACAGGCATGGGTGGTCAGAAGCACTTGCAGGTATCAAAAGCCCCCACGTAAAATACATTTGCCCGCATGCGTAAGTTTGTAACTTTTCTTGTTTTACCTTTTTCTGTAGAGGTTCATATTAACACCTTTGCAGAGATGAAGAAGTCAAATGGGATTTAGATGTCTCTGTGTTTCATTTTATATAAAAACTTCACTCTAAAATAATGTTGATGCTATTAAATATTTTGTTATTTTTAGTAACTGCTGTGATTTACTTTGGGGCAAAACTGCTTTTGTATTCATATTGCTTTTGTTACTAATTCAGACTGAAAACATATTTGGAAAGTTTATGTGCAAAATTAGATTGTTTTGACTTTGTTTTCGCTGGATCGAGTTGGTTGCTTTTTTTCCCCAACGGTCATTTGTTAAAAGCCAGTCTAAACAAGGAGCAATTTTTTGTATTTTACTGACCATTAAATATACTGTGTTTTAGGTACATGTACTTCTTAAACTGAGGTGTGTGTACAGTAGATTAAATTTCTCTGTTACCTACAGCAAGTTTCAAAGATTCACAGGATATTTATATCTTCAGCAAATAATGCAGTTTGAGCTGTCTTTGTGCAATTTGAGAAGTGAAATACTTCTGAGCAGTGTCAGGAGTCAGTAAATAAAGCATTTATCTAGAAAGATCTGTCTAGTATTTACCTAATGATAGAAAAACAAATTAAGTATAGTCTTCATTTATTTTAACACAAAATTCAGATTGTCTTTTGCTCCAGCAGTCTTGGGAGGCGTGGAGCAGGGATGATAGGGAGATAAGTAAGCAATGTTTTGCTGTATTACTGATTGCTGGGCTGTGAGTTATTTATTTATTCTACCACATGGCCACATTTTGCTGAGCCCTTCAAAGAGAGCGTAGCGATATCTGCCGTTCTTTTTGCTTGCCCTTCGTCTTCGTTCAGTCTTTCCCCACAGAGCTGACATTCCTCAATTTCAGTAGATTAAAACTATAGCTAGGTTTGATTCACGACGTGGTCCATTGGAGATGTCTTGGTACATCTGAAAAGACGCCATACAGGAGCATAAGGGTGGGAATGAGTCCTGCCATGAAGGCAGGCACTGCTTAAGCGGATTCTGCTGTTGAGAGAAGCGCGTGTGGCCGGGCTCGTGCCCGCCACTGTGCTGCGTTCAGCTGCTTCCTGAGGTTTGCTGATGCTACTGTCTAAGGTGCCTTCATCCACTGAGCAGGTGTGTGGAACTGCGATAACTAACTATTACTTAGAAATCATTAAATAAGATACATGTGTGTGCTGCATATAAGATAGATAGATATATAGACGTGCTTTATATGTGCACACATACATGCATATATGTATGTAAGGCAGCCCATTGATATTTTGCTTGCTGTCCGTAGAGAGTGATAATTCAGCCCTGGATATTAAATTTGGGCTAGCAGGTTTCAAGACAGCTTTCTTGAAGAGATGCTACAAAGTAGCTAACGTTAATTATGGTTTAAAAGTAATACAGAATTCGGGATATGTAATTTCATGACAACTGTATCTGCATTATTAAATTTCAGTATATATCTTATGTCAGTGTTGTTCACTCTCTTTTTTTTTTCAGGCCAGTTATGCCAGTTTCTTTGAACATGAACATGGCTATGCCGTCATGGTAAGTATTTGTTCAATTGCAGACAGTTCTAGTCAGAAGATGTCTTGGGGTATGAACTCACTGTTCTCAATTAAAAATTATGAACAACCTGGATGGCTAGTTTTAGTCAGATGTAAGTATAAAAAGCTTTTTGCTTTAGTTCTGTTCTTATAAAAGGACTCTCACGAGTACGCTCTAATTCCTTGTGTATCTATGGTAATGGTAATTCCTCAGGACTAATCTGTATGTCTTAGAATACAAACCCCACTTTATTTTACAAGTATAGTCTCTAGTCTGTATCGTGTGTGAATTCATAGTAGTAGTGGAGACTTAAAGTGGAAATAACTGTTGCTACTAGTGAGCAGTATTTGGTGGGTCAGTAGGATATCTAGAAACTGTTCTTTAGAACATCCATTCTGAATAGAAAGAAGGAAAAATATGGTAGATTTCAATGGTCTTAAACCAGTCGTCTTCAGATTATTTTTCTCAAGTAACTCGTGTTTGGTTTTCCTATATTTCTTGAAACACTATTTAAATTTTGTACATGCAACTGTTGAATTGAAATT